TGGGGTGGGGGGGCCGTCTGCCCTGTCTCCTCCCCCTCCCCCGCGGGGTGACTGCCTGTTTGTTTACGGGCAGTAAATGACAGTACGTGGATGTGAACAAGTGTAGGCAGATCCCGGGGGGCCGGCGGGATTTTCGCAGCTTCTCCTCGTAGACGCGATCAGGGTGAGGCCGGCTCGCGGGTGGTGTGCGTGCGGCCGACCGCAGGCGGCTGGGTCCGAACCTGCGGCTGCGGGTGGGGCTCTGCGGCGAGAGCCCGGGGGAGGAGCGGGCCGCCGCGTGGGTCCAATAGTAACACCCCCACCCCCACCCTGCCCCGCCCCGTCGGCTGGCCTCCCCCACCCTCCGCCGCCCCGGCCACCCCTTCCTCCTCGTCCCCGGCCGCCTCGCTCCCTTCCCTCTTCTTCCCACACCGCCCTCCGCCGCGCCCGCCCACCCGCCCGCCGGAGAGGAATCGAGCGCCGAGCGCGTCGATCGCCCTGCCCTCGGCGCGGCCGCTCGGCCCCCGGCTCATCGGTGCGTTCGGCGCTCGATTCCCCTAGGCGGCGGCTCCGGCAGCGGCGGCGGCGGCGGCGGCGGAGGCAGAGCGGCGCGGTGGCGGCGGCGGCGGCGGCTGCTCGGCCTGGACTCCGGGCCCCCGCCATTTCCGACTGGGCGCGAGCGCGGTGCGGGCTCTGAAGGCGGCGGCGGGGGCCAGAGGCGCGGCGGCTCCCGGGTGCGGGAGAGAGGTATGGGTAGAGCAGACCTCCTCTCCTGGGCCCCTGCCTGCCCCGGACCCGACCTCCGCCCGCGCCCGCGCCCGCGCCGGGCGGGGCCGGCGGCGAGTGAATGAATTGGGGGTCCCGGCGGGGCGGGGAGGGTCGCGGAGCCGGGCGCTGTGTGGCGGGGGTGTGGGGGGGCGGTCTGCGGCGGGGATTGAGGACTAGGCGGTGCGGGGCTGCGCAGGGTGAGGCTAGAGGCGGCCGCCGCTGGTACTGCTTCCTGGACGGGGAACCCCTTCCTTCCTCCTCCCCGAGCGCCGGGGAGGCGGCCGCGGGGACACTCGCGGGCCCGGCGGGGGCCGTGCTGTCGGCCCCGCGGGGCGGCGGGGGGCGGAGGTGACTCCCCTCGCGCCGCCCCCCTCCCCCTCGGCGCCCTGCTCGCCCTCTCCCCGCGCTCCCGCGCCTCGGGTTCCCTCCCTCCCCGCGCCCGGCCGGCCTCCGGGCCGCCCTCCCCGCTGCACGGAGCATCTCCGGGGCGAAGGGAGAAACTTCTCCCTGGAGCGCAGACCCCACGGCCAGGGGTCCCTGTTCCCTGGGGAAGGGGAGATGGGGAGTTTGGGGCGGTCCCGTTTGGGAAGAGCAGGGGAAAGTGCCAGAGACCACTGTGGGAGATTATTGTGTGTTTGGGGGGGGGGGGGGGAGGGAGGAAAAAAATGCACTGCAGCCGAGTTCCTGGCTGCTCCCCTCCCCCCTGCACGCCTGTGACATTGCTGTGGCCACAAAGGAGGAGGTAGAGACGGTGGTGGAAGAACAGGTGGCCAACACCCTGCCGTGTAAAAAAAGCCCGTGACTGAACGAGAAGGAAAAAGTTAAATCCCAGAAAGGTCTGTTCTGTTTGGCTTTGTCCAGGGAAAACGCAAACGCAGGAAACCTGCAGAGCAGAAGCGGGGCTTTATTTTTTCCCTTATGTGGAGACAATCATAGCCAGAACCATCCTTGAAGTTTAATTTACCTGCTCTTGTCCTTTTCCCTTATCTCTTTGATGTGACCCTCCTCCTCCTCCTCCTCACAGATTTGACCCTCATCCCCATTGGGTGCTGTTTAAGGTGTTACTCTTAAACTGCACCCAATTTATTTTTATTTTATTTATTTATTTTTGCTTTAAAACTGAGCTACAGGAGGAGTTAATTCATTGTAGCAATCTTCCAGCCAATTGCCTGAAACACTCTTAGGCAGGTGCATGCTCTAGCTGAAGTCCTAAACTAACCTTAAATCCTAATATCCATCAAAACAAGGGGTTAACATTGTCTGATTTTTATCCAGCATACATGTTACATATGTAATGGAGACATTCATTTCAAAAGAAATTGTAAAGGGACAAAAGGTGCGCATAATAGTCACCTCAGAATCAACCATAGGAGAGATGTCACTCTTAGGCCCAAAATGCTGACTCCAACGTAGACATCCAATAAGGTTGATGGTAATGCTACTTGCTTTGAGACTAGCCATCCTCAGGCATACTTGGTTTTAAGAGGTAGTAGATGTGATGATACATAAAAGTGATCTTTTTTTTCTTCCCTTCACTAGATCTTGGCCTCTGAACACATTTCCACCCCTCCTTGCTCTAGCTTTTGTAGATTTGGGTGAGGGGGCCCCTTCTGGCATGTGATCTTTTAGTAAGCTTCCTTGGGAACCCAGTTTTCTCTCCTGGACTTAAATATTACTTGATTTTTATAATCCATTTTAAGGAATTCCCCCCTCCCCAGAAACAACCACTCATAAACAGGTAGACCAGAAAGGTGTGTTTCTCTCAGGGTTCACACACGTCTATAAAATTAAGTTCTTATCCACTCTCTGTCCACAGGATCGCCTAGGCTAGCAAGTTTTTTTGGTGTAAGGATCCCTTTATATTAAAAGCTATTGAAGATCCCAATGTGTGGCATGTCAATATTTACCATCACAGAAACAGAAACTGAGAATTTTAAACATTTCTTCATTCATTTAAAAATAGGAACAAGGAGCCCATTACTTGGTAATATAAATAGCATTTTTTTTTAATGAAAAATAACTTTTCAAAACAAAAGTTAGTGAGAAGGGTGGCATTATTGAACACTTTTGCAAGTCTTAATTATATGACAATAGGAGACACCTTGATCCTCATATCTGCTTCTGCATTCAGTCTGTGGTGATCACACATCTGGAAAACTCCACCATACACTTGTGAAAGAACGAGAGTAAAAGGGGTAAATGACAATGTAGAATTTTTATGAAAGTCGTTTTTTAACCTAATGGGCTCCTGGCTACTTTTGGAGAGCGAGGCTATCCAAATTATTTTGCAGGGTTTGGTGGGCAGGGATACATTTTGGTGCGATTCTCCTCATCTATTCCATTTTATATAGCCTGCATTTGGAATAAAAAGTGGGAGCAAACAGAATGAGGTACATGTTTGTAGTGACTCCCAAGGTGGCCTTACACAAGAGCAAGTAAGTCTAGGCAGGTGGCACTGAGTAGGCCAGGAATCTGGAGTATAACAGTCTGATAACAACAGTTGTCTGGCCTGTGTGCTCTCTCTGAGGGGGCTCAGGAATAGGGTAAGGAGGGTGGTTAGTATATTATCATTTGGAAAACCATATTATCTTTTATTTTCCGGGACTATTTGGATACTTTTTGGGCTTCAGTAAATAGGATGCTGTATGTATATTGTGTTTATATCTGCACATTCATTAATTTGGGACTGCTTATAATAAATTGTGCATTTACTGCCATTCTTTCCATGGTTCCTTATTTGTAATAATATCATGTAATTATTGAGGGAGAGAAGATAAAATTAAATGAATTCATTTTATTTCAAAAAGTTTGTAAACAACTGATTAATAAATGTTTTCTGTCTTGTACTGATAACCTTACAATTTGTCAATATTTATTGCAACTGTTGAGAGATGATGAGATGCAAAGAGTAAAAGTCATGTGAGAACTATTCAGTCACATCTTTTTAAAATTTTCTTGTTAAAAGCAGCGCTTATTTTCAAATTTTATATATTTTTCTTGTGCAGAGTACTGTTTTTCAGCACTAATATAGATTTATATGTTGTGATTGATGATTAAATCAACTGTACTTAATATTTCACAATTCTCAGAGTTCTCTGTTTTTATACCATTATTTCCCCCAGCAGATATTTTACAAATTAAATTGTTCATCAATTATTGTCCTTCCCTAGCTGGTTTGACTCAGTGGATAGAGAGTTGGCCTGCAGACTAAAAGCTCCTGGGTTTGATTCTGGTCAAGGGCACATGCCTAGGTTGCGGGATCAATCCCCAGTAGGGGGTGTTGAGGCAGCCGATCAATGATTCCTTCTCATCATTGATGTTTATGTCTTTCTCTCCCTCTCCCTTCCTCTCTGAAATCAATAATATGTATATATTTAAAGTATTGTCCTTACCTACTTAGGTGTCTCAATTTTTATTTTCTCACTACACAGTGAACTTTATTTGACAATTCTTCCACCCCCCCCCCCCTTCCACTCCCACCCCACTGTCTGGTTCTTTCTAACTACTCTGGAGAATTAACTATGATGATTTTTTAAAATATATTTTATTGATTTTTCACAGAGAGGAAAAGAGAGTTAGAAATATCGATGAGAGAGAATCATCAATCAGCTGCCCCTTGCACACCCCCTACTGGGCATGTGCCTGCAACCAAGGTACATGCCCTTGACCGGAATCGAACCTAGGACCTTTCAGTCTGCAGGCCGACGCTCTAATCACTGAGCCAAACCGGTTTCGGCTGATGATTCTTTTAAAAAATTTTCTGTAGCTCTCGGCTCCAACAAAGACACTCAGCGTATCCACTTGTAACTCTTAGGGACCATAGCCAAACTAGGAGAGAGAGCCGTCCATAGTTTTATGTGGGTGTGTCCACAGGGTATAGAGCATGTGCTAGACACCGTACTGAGTAAAATCATGGCATGTTCCTTTGAGAGCCATTAACTGTGATAGAACAGCAGACTGGCTGTTTAGATAGAACAACCTGAATATATGATAAAAGAACTTTGTACTCTGAATGCAATTTTTTTCTGAAAGGTTGAATGGGCAATTTGTAAATACAGTATGATTCATTACAATACACATCTATACTGAAGTTTTATCATTGAATTTTGTGAGATAATTTGAAATAATTTTCCATATAAAGGTGAATTTGTGTTAAAAGGCATTGATAAGAGTGTTTGGCTTCTATTAATCTCATGTGTGATACTTGTTCTAATTTAGTTACATTTTCATTATTTTTATAAGGCCTGCTGAAAATGACTGAATATAAACTTGTGGTAGTTGGAGCTGGTGGCGTAGGCAAGAGTGCCTTGACGATACAGCTAATTCAGAATCACTTTGTGGATGAATATGATCCTACAATAGAGGTAAATTTTGTTTTAATGTTATGCATATTGATTTGTGCAGGCCCATCCTTTGGGTACAAAAAAAGTTGCAATACAAGACAATTATACTGAAAATAATTTTATTAAGTTATCAGAAATGTATTTATGCTTTAAAGCTTTGTTCTGAAGTTATACATAACCACAGATATGGAGAGCCCTTCTTCTCTTGGGAAATCTCAAGTTTCATGACATTCCTTCTGTGTTTGTATGTGTGCATTTCAGAGTTTTGTGAGAAAGTGGAATGTGAATATACATTTTACCTATACCTAACAATCATTTTTAAAAAATGTGGCTATTATTTTCATAGGTTTTGTTTGTTTGTTTTTTGTTATTTTGATGTCATGTATTAGATTTGAATTGTGAAGTATAATCATTTGAAGGCTAATTAAAAAATGTAATTAGTATTTCCCTGTTTCCTCTTCATATTGAAGTAGTGGAGAATCTACAGCTACCTGATGCATTTTAAAAAGCTCTTTCTTTACATATATAGGTAATTGTATATCTCAGATATATATAAGTATATCACTACCAATCCTTTGCTTTACTTTGCAGCACTTTTTTAATTTACTCAAGGAAATGTTAGAGGTTTTTTTTTTTTTTTTAATTACAAATTGATTAATGATTTTCAGACTTTTATTTTAGTGAAAAATCACCAAACCAAATGATAGAGTAAAGGCCTGAAGGAGACCTTGAGAGGTCAGGTAGTATCAAGCAGAGAAGGATTAATTTAATCCCAGAGACCTGTGGGAGGGAATGGCACAGCTGTCCTTGTTAACGCATTTCCAGAATTACTATATTTTATGCATAATCGAAACTTCATGTTAAGTTTTACATCCGAGAAGATGGAAATAAGTATACCATTTCATCTTTGAAATAGACTTACACAGCTGGATTATTTTTTAGACTTCTTTACCTTGGTTAAATCCAAGTCCCTAGATTTTATTCTAGGTGTGATACACCAATTGTTCAAGTCAACTTTGAAAAGTTTCCCAGAACTTTGTCTGCGTGCCAAGCTGTGTATGTAATGTCTTTGACTGCATTGAGATAGGTTCTGAGGGCTTTGGTGCCTTGGGAAGATGTTTATGCAATTTAGAACTGAGGATTGATTAGATAAGTTTTATAAGGAAACTTATATATACATATAAAAAGCCTAATATGCAAAGTGTCCCCTTGGGAGTTTGACCGACCGGATGTTCGATCGCTTGACATGATGTGCACTGACCAGCAGGGACCATGCAGAACAAAGGAGGGCCCTGGCTAGCCGTCAGGGAAGGGAGGCCCCAGCCAGCAGCTGCTAGGGACCCAACCTGTGCACAAATTTCGTGCACTGGGCCTCTGTGTTAAATATTTTTGGTACTACAGGGGAAAAAATGAAGAAATAAGCATGTATTAGCAAAGATTTGGTTTAGACAGAGAAACAGTTTTCATTTGGCTTCCATGTTTAAGAATTTGCAGTAAAAGAGAAGTCCTAATCAAATGAACCACCTATATAATATAATAGTCTCTATATTTGCTCTTGATAAGTCTGTTCAGTGCTATATGACGGTTATGTTTTGTTTTGTTTTTTTTTGTCTTTAAGGAGTATTAAATAGTTAACTCATTTCTAAAGCCAAGGCTATTTGGCATACTTCACCATTTAAATCAGAAGTGAAAGGAAGTTTTAAATAGAATTCAGGTTAAGCATGGAACTGTTCCTAGGATTTTGGAAGATGGTTTTAGCAGAAGTACCCTCATCTTCTCTGAAAATCTGAGGAATTTCATTATACTGTTTCCTACCAGAGGTCATGAATGTTATATGTATGATAATGTGATAAAATAGGTTAGGAAACCTTTTGGTCACAATTGTTAAAGTGCAATATAAATAGAACTAAATCTAGAAATTAATCCTCTATTTTGGGGGAAGGTAGAAAATGTTTATAAACTCAAACCCATAACTCTGATTATGATTTCTGTCAAACCAGAAGACTTGACTTTGGGAACATTGATTGCCTGTGAACTTTGAAATTGAGGTTCCTCACTAGTTAGTTTAGCCCTAGGAGAAGGTATGCAGAGATTGTCACCACTCCTGTAGCTCAATCTTAGGCAACTAACACACTAGATTCTTGGCGTATAGTTAAACCACAAGAAAGGCAAGAGAATTAGTTTATTCTAATAAGCAGCTAAGCAAAATGCTAACTTGATGTTTTTGTAAAAAATTTAAAAGGAGGATGGGGATATCACTACTGCTGTTAGGTTTTGATTGGGGAGCAATGTAGGTCAGAGAGAAAATGAGAGAGGACATAGACTTTGCACATTTGGAATTCTCATCAGTTTTCCCGCATTAAAACAAATGGAAAGAAATTGCAAAAAAAATTTTAAATCAAGTAATACCATATTTTCTAGTGGCTTAAAATTTGCAAATGTTTTCATATTATGAGATAGATAAGGAAGGTGGTCATTGTTTCTTTCACTTTATAGATAAAAGTGGTCTCTTTTTTTGGTAACTTGCCTAAATTTCTTGCCTAGTAAGTGGTAGCATTTTAAGTTTTCTGAGACTAAGTTAAATGGAATTTCCACTCTATCCTTGTATAAATCTTTAAGCAAAGAAATAGTTAATATTGGAAGCTAATTCATATCAGTATACCAAAATTTGATCTTAAATACTATCCAATGGCATCTTACTGGCAGAGATATGATATAGAATTAGATAGCAATGACACATTTGTGGAGCATGTTTATATTTGAGGCTATGCACATGATAATTACCTATCCTGAAAGATTTTACCTTTATCTTTTATGAAGTCGATCAAAGAGTTCTAGAGATAATGAAATACTTCATTAGTGGTGCAAGATTACTAAAAACTCAAAGCCATCCCCTAAGCATAATACCAGGCTAGAAATAATGTATGTTTTTATAGTTAGAGACCCCTTGTTATTATGAAAACATGTTTTCTAAGATATATTTAGCAAGGGAAAATTTGATAGAAAAAGAAAAATCTTATCTTAACAAACCAAGTAGTTATAGACATTGAAATCAGAATGATCAGTTGATCAATTAGCAAGTATATTACCAGAGGCCCATTGCACGAAGATTCGTGCAAGAATAGGCCTTCCCTCCCCTGCCTTGGCTCCCAGCCGCCCAGGAGCCTGCAAGTCTTCTCTCTCAGCCGAAACACCACTCCTGTAGCTCCCTCTGCCCCTTCCTCCCCCTCATAGAAGGCATCCCTCCATGCCCAGGCCACTTCGTGCCTGCATATGCAAATTAACCCGCCATCTTCGTTGGGTTAATTTGCACACTCCTGATTAGGTGATGGGTGTCGCGGAGGTACGGTCAGTTTGCATCTTTCTCTTTTATTAGTGTAGATATGTGTCTAATGGATATAGTATACTAGTAAAAATCGACATAGAAAGAAGTGTTTTTTTCCAAGCTCTTAATTTCATTGACATCTGCATGTTTCTGTTAGTGTTACACACTTATAATTCAGTCCAACTTTTATGTACTTCTTTGATGAAATAGTTTTCTCAGTAAGAAAGAATGGATTCATAATTGGATTGATTTGTGCTATCTTAAGTGCTTTGAGCTATAATCACCAAGATTTATCAGTTTCTCTGTTTTTTTTTATACATACATAAACTTTATGGAATTTATTTTACTTGCTGAATAGGGTATTTAAATTATAGCGAGAAAATGTGTAATATTGTATTGAAAAATGGTGTTAAAAAAGCTAGCAACAACCTGGCCCAAAATGTCAGTAGTGCTGAGGTTGAGACACTTAATTTGTTACGCATAGCCTTAAACATTCTTTTTTTTTTTTTTTTTTTTTTTAATATATCTTATTGATTATTTTTTTACAGAGAGGAAGGGAGAGGGAGAGAGAGTTAGAAACACTGATGAGTAAGAAACATCGATCAACTGCCTCCTGCACACCCCCTACTGGGGATGTGCCCGCAACCAAGGTACATGCCCTTGACCCAAATCGAACCTGGGACCCTTGATTCTGCCAGCCAATGCTCTGTCCACTAAGCCAAACGGGTTAGGGCAGCCTTAAACATTCTTAAATTGTTAGACTCAAGTCCCTGAATAAGGTTTATGTTAAGTTTTCTAACAGATTTAAGTTTTACCTTTTCTAAACCAGTAATACGTTATTTATTTACACACACACACATCTATAGGTGTGTGTGTGTGTGTGTGTGTGTGTGTGTGTGTGTGTGTATAACTTCCTATTAAAACATTCTGTTTTTAAAATAAGGTAATAACAGTGTTGTAAATGAAGTTCTCTTCAAGGCTGTGACCTGCTCTTTTCCCCCTTGTAAATGAGTGCCCTCTACTGGTCAATTTATTTGCTTTTATAATGAATAACAGTAAAATACCTCCTAAAGTTGGAGATTTTTTCTATTTATGTATGGGGGTATAATCATTTTATAAGTATATTTTATTTAAAAGTTTTATTTATTTGTCTAAAAATCTAAAGTATCATAATTTACTCTGCTAATATTAAGATTATTCTGTGGACTAGTTTAGCCTAAGTATTTGGGTGAGTGTTTTTAACTAAGAAAGGAAACGTAGCCTAATAAGAAAAAAGAGGGGAGATTATTTTGTTTGAGGGAATAAAAAGAGGCTCTGAATTTCTTTACTTACATGCAGAAGTGATGTGTTAATTGGGTGTTAGGAAAGGTCTATTCAAAAGTGGCAAATTGTGGAAGTTCACGTTTTGCAGATTTTTATAGGATTGTAGAATAGTTGTGATTACATGAATTTTAGAACATACACAAAATTCAGGTTCTATATTTTGGTCAATTTAAGAATAAGTATTTACTTAATAATAACTATTTGTTAGATCTGAATGTTAATTCTTATTTGAGTTTTTATAAATACAAAGCTCTAAAAACATACAATTGAAAGTTGGTAATGGAAATAAGTGAACGAAAAAAAATGTTAATGTGTTGGCATCTCCTAAGAGGATTCTGGTTTAAACAATGCAGTCAATTCTTAAATTCTGTAA